AATATTAATCAAGTGAATCAACTGAAGATAATTTGGTTAAATTTTCAAATTATCGGAATTGATTTTAAATCAAATCAAAATCCCACAAAGCAAGGTCCTAAAGAAGGAAAACCATTTAGTTCAAAAATCCTGCAAGAGCTTATAAAAAGGAGGCCTCAAGACAAAGGAAAGGAGGCTTAGACAGACGAAGCACTCAGAAGAATAAGAAAACTCTCTGCATTCTTCACCGCACTTTGGAACAACCACCAAGCACAACAAATAGGTGCCGATTCCTCCACCCTAGAAAAATCTAATCAATAAACAAGCCATGTGCTACCCGTTTGATCAAGATCAAGTCTCTACTAAACACTTTGGAGATCAAATAAGAGGATTTCATATAGAGATTATAACCCTAAATTTCATTCATACAAATTTTACTTTGTACACATGTTCTTGTCTCATTTGTCGTAGAATTTTCATGTTTACACACTCTTATCAACAGCCCCTCCAAATACATATCTTCCATAAACTAAAAGAAAAAAGTCAAAAATATCAATATGCATCTAAGCACAAACCATACATTAAACAACTTGTCATTGGTTCAAACCACATGAGAATTACTTGGCTTTATTTATAGTTGTACAACCACAACAATTAGTTCAAACTAATCCCAATCAATTGTTAATTGATTCCATTATTACTGTTCTCTATTCACATAACGGAAAACAATGAATTGGAATTTCAGCCTAGAAACTCACCTCTTGCTTAACAGAACTAAAAACAACCACCAAACAGCTCTATCTAAAGCAGCAAAATACCACCTACAAAACATCAAAAGAAGACATGGTTAAGAAAGAAGAGGAGAAAAAGGAAGAAAAAACTATATAAAAAATTGAAGAAGAAAACCACATAGGGAAAATGCATATATCAATATATGAATCAACAAAAACGAAAACAACATGAATCGACGAAAGAGAAATTATCTGAACAACAAAAACAATAAATTAGACACAACCCAAAATAAAACCAACGAAGTTCGAAACCTTACCCCTCTTATCGATTTTACTTGCTTGGCTGTGATCGGCACACCAACAAAGGGTTGAACTACGGTAACTCCACTCAACCAATAAAGTAAGTTCCAGCAAAATTTCTCTTGCAGTTTTCAAGCCAATTGTTTTCTCACTTGATAGGGAATAGATATGAGATAAAGAGATGAAGCACACATACATAATTGCTTAAAGGAAAACCGATGAGATGAAGACCTAAAGAACCGTCTAATTCACAGTGCGCCACCTCAGATGCAAATCGACGGCCTCAAACGAATCTTCAACACCGAACACAGATCTCCTATCGTTTTCCCCCCAACTAGTCCAACCAAGCTGGTTAGAAATGATCAACCTCTCTCTGCGAACTAACAGTGGCATCATCAAGATCGAAGGGGAAAAGGGCAAAAAAGGAAAGATAAAAAAAATTAAAGAAGAGCACTTGGGTGATTTAACTGTGTTGCAAGAGAAAAAAAAAAGGACCAAAAGCAGTAAAGCGGGGGCAATTTCGTCACTCTACTATGCTTAGGAACAGTGTCTAGTTGGATTGAGCTTTAGTATATATAAATATGTGTCAAATCACTCAACTTGGTATGATGGTATTGGAGGGACTAGATTATAAGAAAGGTAGATTTTTTTTTTTTTTTTTGGTCTGAAAGGAAGGTAGATTGATCAAAGTGAAATGTTAAACTTGATATTTTCAATGGATTAAGATTTTCTTTGAAAATAATAATATAACATAAATATGCGAAATATGTTGTCAAAATTTTAAGTTCAAACAAAAATTCACATCATTAATGATTTCGAGTGACGGCATAGCTTTTTTTTAAAAAAAAATTAATGAAGGCTTATTTGTTGAAATACCCTATGTGGTTTTCAAATTGTCTCAGTTTGCCGCTTGACATTTTAAATGACTCAATCTCCCTCCTGAACTTCCATTTCGTGACCAAGGTTGCCCAATTTTGTTAATTTTCATATGAAAATCATTAATTCCACTGACGTGGCATGGACATCTTTAAAATAAATATTTTTCCTTGGAGAAATTATTTTAAATGTTTAAAAATAAATTAACTTTTTAAGAAACTTAAAAACCTAGCAGCCCCTCCCAACCCCCAGCAACCACCTTCCCCCACCCCATTCCATTGCTCTAATGTCCCACCTCTTCCCCCACTTTTCTTAATGGCAAATAACTCTTAGAACACTTGATTCTCAAAATCTGTTCTGAAAGCGAAGTGCTTTTATGACTGTGAAGACCTGTATTTTTAAAAATATATGAAGAATAAATATTTTGTTTCATATTTAATTATATATTTAAATTAGTATGCTGGGGGCGGCTTTTTCCATTAAATTAGTTGATGCATTACCATGCATTTGGACAGCTCATGCTTACAATTTGGTGACTAGGCTTTGTCTTAGCTTGAGGAGGAGTTTATAAGTTCAATGGGTGGCATAGCATTTGGAAATATATCTCCTAGCGTTGACACATATCAGCTTATATAAAAGAGTGGCGACCAAGTTATCTTTTTGTATAGATAAGATAATGGCCTTTGTTATTATCCTCTCCATTGTTACCGCCATCTTACCACCTATAAATAGGAGTGTTAATAAGGAAGAGATATCATGCAACGTGAGAGAGAGAGAGAGAGAGAGAGAGAGAGAGAGAGAGAGGACTAAAGAGAGATGTAAGGAAATTTGATATTGGATGAGATAGGTAAATGGTTGTCTTGCCAATTTATTTTAAGGGCTCTTATTATCGAGGTGAGTGGTTTATGTAATGTGTTCTAAAAGTTCTTATTTTGTGATAAAATATGAAAACCATGAATTATTGTGGATTTGTTCTATTTACAAATATCTCTCTATTTCAAGTCAAGCATGTCTAATTTGGTGCAACCTTTCACACTATATATATATATATATATATATATATATATAGGCCAATAGGGGTCACGTGGTTGGTTACATGCTATGAAGGATAATCGAGATATGAAAGGATGATGTGATATGATCTGGATTGGTGTATCTTTTCATGATATTTTTTAGAGTGTGTAAAACGGCATTGCTTGACTGGCATATTACATAATCTACTCACTGAGCGGTGGTTGCTCACCCCTCACCCTGTTTAATTTTTCAGATGAATTAGTGGGCAAGACAATGACTAAACCAGTTGAGACTGAATTAGATGAGAGTGATAGAGCTTTATTTATTAATTGTAAAGTTGTAAGATTTTGGAGATATTTTTATAAGAGAAGTTTATTTTATGTTTTGGCTTCTTTTTATTTTATTTTACTTTCTCACGCACCAGGCGCGGGGTTTCCACCGACCCCCGGGTCCGGGGCGTGACAGTGACACTCTACTTGTATCTTCCTAAGCTTCACGCTAATCATTCCTAATCTTCCTATCTTCCTAAGCTTCATGCTTCCCCCAGATAAGGTCTTGGGTTCGAGTCCTAGTATCTGTGTAATGTGTGTGAGTTTATTATATTGTTGCCTCTCTATCCTTGCTTATCTCTCTCTCCCTCCACTCAATAACAACAACCGCCACTCCAAATTCCAGCCTACCCACCAAGTTGCTCCACCTTCCACCGCCCCCACAAACCCAACTGAAAAGGCCAAAATCTTTTTTAGATCCACTTTCTTCATATCGATGTTCATTTTTATATTTGTTAGATTGGTAATGGATCTCACAGGGGAGCTGTGGCTGGGTTGGTATTTCGATGGAGGGTGGGGCGACTGGATCTCGCATGGCAGTGGTAAATGTTGACTTAAGACGACTGGAGATTTGAATTAGAAAGGCTGCTACTGGGTTTGTGTGGGACGATCAGTTTGGTGGTTGTGGGCGGCTGGTGATGTGGTTGGGGTATACAATGGGGTGGTGGTGCAATGCCGCCGAATAAGATGATGTAGAACTTTGGGGATGTGTTAATTCTTTTTTGTTTTTTAAATTTTTATGTTATTTTATTATTTTACATATTTGATTTTGAATAATTTCAAGCATTTTTAATATTTAATAGTTAAAATTACCAAAATACCTATGCCACATCAGCGGATTTAACAATTATTATTTGAAAACTAACGAAATGGAAGTTCATGGGGGAGATTGAGTCATTTAAAACTTCCGAGGGTAAACTGAGACAATTTGGAAACCATATGGGGGTATTTCAACAAATAAGCCTTTAATAAAAGTGATAGTCTAAACTATAAGGGGAAGGGGGGTTTCTTACACGCACACTACCAAGGTGTCATGGGGTATCAAATCTGAAACCATTGTTATGCAAGTCAATGTCATTTTCACTGGGCTAGACCCCATTACAACGAGAACCCTTTTTCTTTGAAATGTGAGCTAGTGAGAAATAAAGCTTTATTTGAATGGAAACATTTGAAAGGAATAGGACAATGCTAAATGTGTTAAAAAGAATTAGAGAAACTAAGTAGATTGATGTAGAATGTTTGGAATGGATTTGAAATGACTATTTGCAATGAGTCATTTGGAATCTATTCGTTTTCTTCATTTTCTTCTCATTCAAATCTTGGCATACATAGATTGTAGTAGTCTAAACAAACAGGTTAATCATACAATGTGATCTAAAACCCTAAATTTGAAATTAATCCATCTAAATGGACACTAAAAGTGTGAGAGCTAAAACATGGACTACAACTTTACGAAATAGTATGGGCATAACTGTTGGCATCCGAGTTACATCCGTGAGCTACACCGACTCTAATAAACTAGTGAACTAAATGCGTTACCACATCATACTGATTACCGATCTATGGCATGGTGTGGTGTGGATGATGAAATTACGGTCTTGGTGGAAATAAACTAGAGAGTTTAGGTTGAACTCAGATATGAACAAAATTAAAACCATGAGATTTTTTTCTTTTCATTTTTGGTGACTGATATTTAATTATTTTGGTGTCGGTTGTTATTTAATTATTTCGCTGTAGGTTGTTGTATAGATATTTATTTTCATTATCCCATACTGTTCTTTTGCTCTCCTCTCACCATCAAACTTAATTACAGGTTCCTACTTCAACTTTCTCATCCTAGTCTCCAAATTTTATATATAAACACCTGATTGAATATATCTATAAGATTATATATCAATGGAATTCCAAGAACTTTTCACAGTGGTAGCAACCACTATAGGCTTCATCTCTCTTTGCAAAACCTCCATCAATTTTCTCAGATGGGTTTGGGTCATGTTTCTGAGACCCCCCAAGAATCTCAAGGAGTATGGATCATGGGCTCTCATCACTGGCGCAGCTGATGGAATTGGCAGAGCCCTTGCCTTTAAAATGGCTGCAAAGGGTCTTAACCTAGTGCTGCTTGATCGAAACGCTTCAAAGCTTGAAGCTACCGCCAACGAAATACATGAAAGATTTGGTGAACGAGTTGAGATCAAGAAAATTGTCATGGACTTGGCCAAACTCAGTGGGGAGGAGATAGCTAAAGCCATAGAGGAGGAAATAAAAGGGCTTGATGTTGGTGTTTTGGTTAACAATGCAGGAGTGGCTTACTCTTATGGAAAGTTTTTTCATGAGGTTGACGATTTGGAGCTGATGGATAGCATTAAGGTGAACATGGAGGCTGCCACGTGGATCACTTGGGTAGTGCTTCCAAGTATGCTCAAGAAGAAGAAGGGAGCTATTGTCAATATTGGCTCTGGCTCTGGTTCCTCTGCCATCCCTTCTTTTCCTCTCTACACTAATTATGCTGCTTCCAAAGCGTGAGTTAATTTCTTGATTAAGCCTTTCATTTTGTTTCATAATTTGCAGTAATTTTGTGGTTGAATCTTGAATGTCTTTAGTGCATTCTATGTCTTGTAGCCGTGTGGGATTGAAGGTTTTGCATTTTTACTTCCATACGCAACAAGTTTTTCAAAACGAAAAAAGTCTTCTTCTTTTGTTTTTTGTTTTTTTTTAACGAAGAAATTCTTCTTTTGTTTTTTGTCAACACGAAAAAAGAATTTTATCAAAAATTTGTTAGGGAATATTCACGTCCCGTCACATCATAGATGTACATTTCCAAAGTCATGAAATATTTAGACATAAATTAAGTCATAGTTAATCAAAGTAATGTACTTCGTACGTCTTAAATTTGAAATCTCATTCTTGTATTTATTAGAAAATCCATACAAAGGATCCGAATTTCATAACAAAAGCCGAAATAATCTTGACACTTTGAAATTCAAAGTTTGAATGGTAGGTGTAACTGCATATATCATGAATTTATGAGTTATGATATTATATAGGTACCTTTCAATGTTCTCAAGAAGCATAAGTTTGGAATACAAGCAGCATGGAATTGACATTCAGTGCCAGGTTCTCATTTTTTTTCTTCTTCTTTGAAATTAATAAAAATGGCTGCTTTTTTTCATATGAATTATGTAGATGTTGCTTATAATTAATTAATTAATTAATTAATGCAGATTCCTATGTTCGTGTCGACAAGGTTGTCAAGGACCAAGGCGTATCCCTTGTTCGTCCCAACGCCAGAGACGTATAGCAAAGCAAGCATACGATGGATTGGTTATGAGCATCAATGTTCGCCCTACTGGGGCCATTCTCTGCAGTGCCTCCTAACACATCCATTGCCCGACGTCGTATTGAGTGCATTCATTTTTTGGTACTCTCAGAGGATCAGAAAGAGAGGCCAATTGAAAAACTTGCACAAGAACAATATGGCACCATGAAAATCCCTGTTGTATGGATAATATGTCAATTGTCTTTCTTAGATGCATAATAATTAATATCGTTGTTTTAAATAAACAAGTTCAAAGACAATGACTTTATTTCCTCAATTTTCTCAATAAAAATTAGCAAATAAGTGGGTAGGCAACTCTGCTAGCCGATACAACTAATAACGCCCATTTAGTGTAAAGATACTCGTCTAATTCTCTATCTTGCATTGCATGTACCCTAATCTTATTAAAAATTTCACAAGATTATGTATGTATGGGTAATATCAATTGTCTTTCTTAGATGCATAATAATTAATATCGTTGTTTTAAATAAACAAATTCAAAGACAATGACTTTATTTCCTCAATTTTCTCAACAAAAATTAACAAATAAATGGATAGGCAACTCTATTAGCTGATACGACTAATAACACCCATTTAGTGTAAAGATACTCACCTAAATTTCTACCTTGCATTGCATGTACCATAATCTCATTAAAAATTTCACAAGATTATGTAATTGTCCTTAAATTCAATAGTATACAAATGTAATATAAATTTTCAAATTTTAAAACTAGATGGACTTCATTACTTGCCCCAAGGTGCAAACTAAAGTATACTAATAATAATTTGGCACCATTTAATTGGGGAATCTTTTGAACTATTCATTTGGCATAGGCCCATATGGCATCTGACACACGTTACAAGTTCACTTTTCACCATTAGATTTTTCTTTTTGCCTTTTTCTTTTTCTTGGGTTTGAGACTCCTTCTCCTTGCCTTCTTTAATTCTTGTTGCTCATGACTCTTCCACTCATTTGATATAGCAAAGGAAAAAAGTAAGGTAAGGGTTGTTACTATTTATGTGAATAGTGATAATCCTTGCAAAAGGCTTGTCGTGTTTCTATTTATTGCCATAGCAACTCAAAGGCAACTACCATTCACATGAGATATGAGAAAAGAAATTTATATAGAGTTTTAGTGTGGGAAGTGAAAAATATGACTAAGTATTTATTTTAAAAAAATTCTGAAATTTTATTTATTTTTTTCAATTTTTTTTTTGGGAGTTTCACTAAAACACCCAAAATGGGGATTAAAATTATAAAAAAATCCAAACACTATTGAAACATATAAACACATCCAAAACCCATCATTACACACACTCAAAATTCATTTATAAACACACCCAAAAAGTTGACTTTGGGGTTGATTTTGGGTGTGTTTTTATATTTAAATAATGTTTGAATTTTTTTTATAAATACATGTCTAGGATTGGGTTTATTTATAAATTTGTATTTTTTTTTTCTAAGAAAATTTGTTGCTGACTAACATCAGCAAACTCAGACAACAACCCACAGGCTATTCTTGTTTTTGGGCCAGGCGTGTGGAGCTCACCAGCTGCCCTGGCTGCAGTTGCCCGCTGGAACACTTTTTGGGCCTAGGCCCCCCCCCCCCCCCCCCCCCCCCCCCCCCCCCACCCCCCC